GCCTCTATTGAGACTGAGGTTCTTTCTCTTTTTTCTTTGCAATCAAAATTACAGTGTTAATATAATTAACTTTTTCATATTTGGTTTCTTTTTTTCATTTTTTTTTTCCGTTTAATTATATGAGATATGAACTATTGCAAATTTATCAGCGATGGTTTTATAATTTTGTTACTTGGTAATTCTTTTTATGTTGCATGATTTTCTTAGTTTTTATTCTTGTCTTACAATTCTTTGTTTGATATTTTTTTTATTCATGGATAAATTTTCTTTTAATAAATATATTATTTATTATTTGATTTTCCTCTTGTCTTTTGATTTGTTTGTTTGCCAAGAAATCTTGAGAATAAAATTCATGACTTTGGATCTCAATGCTTGAGGTTAAAAAAAGAAAGAAAAAGGGGCACCTCTTTCTCGTAGTCTTCATGGAAACTAAGTTTCTCTCTCAGATTTCTTTTGTAAACAAAATTATAGTTTTGTTTTCGAATTATTTTTTCATATTTTATTTTGTTTTCCCATTTTTTTCTTCATTTAAATTGATAGTATTGAAATTTATATAAGTGCCGTTGTCTCAATTTCTCATTTTCCTTAATTATATGACATATGAATTGTTGCAAATTTACCAGTGATGGTTTTATAATTTGATTACTTTATTTCTTTTTATACTACTTGTTTTTTGTAGTTCTTATCTTGTCTTCAAGTTAAAATTTTTTATTTAAAATTTTCTTTACTTTGATGAAGTTTCTCAAATTGTTTGATTTTCTTTTGATAAATATATTTTTTAATGCATGATTTTCCGTTGCCTTTTGGTTTGTTTGACAAGAAATCTTGAGAAAAGAATTCGTAACCTTTGGATCTCAATACTTGAGGTTTAAAAAAATGGACATCTCTTTCTTGTAGTCTCCATTGAGACTAAGTTGCTCTCTCAAATTTCTTTGTGATCAATATTATGGTCTTAATTTCTAATCAATTTTCTTGTATTTTGTTTTGTTTTCCCAATTTTTTTGGTTTAAACTGATAGTATTGGAATTTATTTAGGTATAATTGCATGAGCAAACTGCATTGCTCTTGGATGCAAGTGCTTTTTAATGTCATAAATTTGACTAGAATGACTTATAGTTACGCCTCGTTTGGGAACCTTTCTTTTTAGTTAAAAAGAAAAAAGTTATTAAATTAGTCAAAAAGTCAACAACTCATATCAAAAAGTCAAAGATTCTTTTTTCTCTCTACTTTTTGCACATCTTTTTGTAAAAAGTCAAAAAATTATCCCAAACATGCTAAATTTTTTTCGTTCATATTTTAGTCAAATAGTCAAAAAATTACTAAATTAGTCTGTTTCCAAACGAGACCTTAGTCATGTGCTTCATAGTACAAAATAGGGTTATTTGGGCAAGACCAGTGTGCTCGGCTTGAAGTTCACTCGAGTGGGCTAGCATTGGAGAGGTGCACTCGAGTGGGGGTAGTGCAAGAGAGGTGAATCTCAGGCTCACAGCCCACTCGAGTGGTGGTGTGCTTTTTTTTTGCTCGTAAACAATCTCAAAATCTGGCACTCAAAGCCCAGCCGAACTGCATTTGAGTGGGCAAGCAGATTTTTGAATCCCAACACTCGGTTTTGGAAAAACTGTATAAGGTGCTAATGTTTTTGTTTTTCAATTCTAATATAAGGCACTAAAAAATACCCAGACATGTAGAGATATTCCTTGAGAAGCCTAAGCCTTGGCCTCTCCAATGCCCTCCAATGTGTAGGATCTAGACCATATTGATTCTTAGAAGAAGATTTGTTTTGCTAATGCTTTGGAAATAATTGGAAAAAAAAAAAAGAAAAAACTATTTTTTGATTGTTTTGCAAAAACCACTCACATCATACACAGTTATATCAATCTTAGTGGGCATTAGTTATTCATGCCAAATAGCTTATGAGAAATATTAATATTGAGAGAGAGAGAGTGATTGAAAGACTAAACATAGACCTTTTTTATTTCAATGTCTTAAGCCTTACAATGCTACTCCATTATATAGGAGGTTTATACAATATGATCAGATGGAGGCCACGAGGCCACGAGGCCAAAAACACAAACAAGCAGGCCACGAGGCCACTACATATTTAACTATACATTAATATATATTATATCTATATCAGCATACACTCACCGAAAGCATATGAATTAAATAAAGCATATGAATTAAATAATCACCGAAAGCATATGAAATAAAGAAAAGGAAAACGTGGCTTGATTTTCAACAGCTTATTGTGAGCGGAGCTGGAAGGAGCAAAGATCTAGACAAGAGGAGGCTAACCGTGGAGTTAGAGCCACTTTCGAGTGGAGTCTGAGCTTGCAACCTTGAGAATGAAGATGTCAAGGCCAACACATCCAAGGTTGGGTTGCAAGTCGTTTACTTGAGTTTAACTTTTAATCTAATGGATTTTGGTTGTGAATTAATCAGGTCTGTGTGAATTAATCAAAATCAGGGCAGCTTTTTGGTTGAAAGCATCTATCAAGAATTTCCCATTCTCAATTGATGATTTAGTTTTCAAATGGAATCAATTCAATTTTCATTCCTGAATCTACAGTTTGCTTCTGCTCCAATCAGCTAGTCTGCTCCTCTGATCTGTCTGTGTGATGTTGGCTGAAACCTGTTCTGTCTGAGTGAATTCATCATCAAAGATTCTCTGCTTCAAAGCTCTGTTTGCTGACTGGTTGCTGTTGGGTGTTTTTGGAGTGAATTTTGGGTGTTTTTGGAGCTCATCTGTTGAATCAGTTATCCTGCAATGTTTGGAGTCCATCTGCTGCTGATATTCTGCTGTGTTATAGTCTTCATGGGATCAGATGTTGCTAAATGATAGGCACACAAATGGTTAACTGGACTGCATATGGCTGCTTCTGCTCTGTGGCTGCTATGCTGTTCAGAATGGGAAGGCAGGTTTTCAGTTTTATCTGGTTTTTAGTTTTCATGTTGTCCAAATGGTGTTCAGTTGTATGGGTTCTGTTTTGTGGCTGCTATGAAGTTCAGAATGGGAAGGCAGGTTTTCAGTTTTATCTGGTTTTTAGTTTTTATGCTGTCCAAATGGTATTCAGTTTTATCTGGTTCTGTTTTGTGAGACCACCTGAAATGCAAATGGCTTGAATTGTATGGGTGAAGGCAAATGGATTGAAGGAGGCTGAATGTTGCTGCTCAGTTCCGGTAGGCAGGTCCACTGTGGATGCTGCTGTGCCTCAATTCTTGGTGTTTTGCTTCTGCTGTTCTCTTTCCTCTTTCAGCTGTTTTCATTATGTTCCCAAAAAATGTGGAATTCCACTCATTGATGACTTTCTTCAAAACTTGAAGCTTTCTTTAAGAGGATAAAACCTCCTTACCCTTTAAATAGCAAGAGGTCCAAGCATCTTTTTAAAGGAGGGTTGCTGCAAAAAAAAAAAAAAAAAAAAAAAAAATCTAATGGATTTTGATAGGCAGGAGTGCCTATGGTTTTCTACCCAAATGGATTGCTGTTCCTAAGGTATGTTGTTGTGTCCTGATTTATTTATTTTATTACTACGTTATTTTGTAGATGACTTAATACATTGGAATTGCAAACTAATTGGATTAAATAATTCACTCAGTGAGTTTTTAATTGTTTATTTGATTTGTTTGCATTTGGCCTGTTAACCCCCTCTAGGTGCAAACTGTCCCCTTGCACCTTTTTCCAATTGGTATAAGTGCTAAATTCACTATTTCAGCTTCCAACCTTAAGTGATCATGGTTGGAGAACAATATCCATTTCCCTGGGGCTAACTTAAGGTATCTCATAATATAGCAGACAACATCAAGATGAGTGGTTCGAGAATCATGCATAAACTAGCAACCCCCACTGCATATGTAATGTCTGGTTGATTATGAGAGAAGTGTCTCTAGTACTTCACCTTATATACTAAAATTCTAAATCTCCAACACCACTATGATGATTAGCTTTGATAGGTGAATTTGGTGGTCTCCAACCTAATGTGCCTAAATGTCACGTAATTACTATATGACGTTAATATTACAATTTTTTTTTTCTCTTCAGAATTTGAGATACTGGTTTACCAATGCAACACTTGTGTATGAAACTGTGCTCTCTGTATAATCTGCATGCTTGTGTTATTTAAGGAACTTATCACTCTGGCAGCGGGTAATTATTGAAGCAGTGACAGTTGAAATAGGTAATAAATTATGACAACATATCATGGCTATTAACATGAGCAGGCCATGTAAATAGTTGCATGCAATAGATGAAGGGAGATATACTGGGAAAGCATGTTAAGAAGCCTAAAACAACAAACTTGAAGGTAACCTTCTCCGCTTTAACTCTCTTGGATTACAAATTGAATTTGTTTTGAGATCTGTTATGTGTTGTATTTATTTATTTTTGGTCATGCTGCTGATTGAGAACAAATTATTAGTTTTAGCAGTTAATTAAAGCATTGGATCACAAAAAAGAAAGATGCACACAACATGCCATGTAAGTGGATGTTCATTTAAGAAATCACTGAGTTAATGGGTCATGATTGCAGTAACAACGGTATTGGGTTTGGTGTAGACACTGGATAAGCTTCAAAAAGTCATGGAGGCTTAGCTTAGTCTCCAGAAGAAACCTGCGAGCTTGAGGTGAAGGCAGTGTTTTGAACCACAAGTTAGAAGCTTAGTCGTTTTGAAGTTTATGTGTATGATCTTAGTACATAAGGATTTTGGTGGATGTGAATGTGATACTTTATACCTTTTGTTGGATGTAATATTTTTAATATATTACATATATTTGTTATGTTAAAAAGTTTGCCTATTTTATAATTTTGCTTTGCTTTTACTACATGCGCCTCGCCTCGCTCCTCGCACTTAGGCTATAGGAGACCTTATCGCCTCGGTGCACCTGGAGCCTTTTAAAACACTGGGTGAAAGATTATTGAACTTCGAACAATGGGTGAGCACTGAGCAGTTATATTTATTTCCTGGACAATTATAAAATAAAATATTGGATCACAAAAGAGAAGCTTCCATGTGCTAACTTTCACTAGGAAGTTTAGTTTATTTAGTTCTTTAGCAGATGGTGATGACTTTTATTGAATTAAAATTCTGTTGCTCATAGTTTCATTGGAGTAAAAGAAGGAACCACTATTTTAAAGGGATAACAAGATTTTAGCCAATTACATTTATTACTCTGATTGCAGTTAACTAATTTGGCTAGAACTTGGCAATAGTAGTATATGCTCTATATCGTAATTATGTTTGAGTGAATGTCGAACTTCTCAGAAGAGGAGAGTTGAGGAGGCACCTACAAAAAGTGAAGGCTGGTATTAGAATCAGATTAAGAAAATTTACTCATATGAAGAAACATTATTATTGAAATATTGAAGTGTCCTGAAAAAACTAATCTTCAGAATAAAAAATTATTTGTTCAGTATGTTCACGAATCATGCCTACTGTTGAAAATGACATATCAATGATTACCTCCACGTGCAATCAACACTGAAAAAAATACTAGACATGAGAAAAGGCATTGCTTCTATGAAAAATATAGATATTTGGAACTATTTTATTTTTCTGGTTATAGAACAGGGTTTTCGTGAAAATATTGAGGGCTATTCTTGCATGTAAGCTGTAACTGGCAATAGTAAGTTTGCTATTTTTCTGGTAAGAAAGAAAAAGAAGGGCAAAAAAAAGAATGAAAAAGATGGAAAGAATCTAGGAATCTTGACCATAATTTTTTAGGAATCAGCCCCTTGACGTTAGGCTACATCACAAATGACTCAAACTCAAACCCTAAATGTTTGTACCCTTTTCTTCAGTATTACAACTTACAAGCAAAAATAGATAATAATGGGCTGCTGGAATTTTCCAATCATTAATATGATTAATACTAATAATGGGAAGCTAGCTTAGAATGACTATTGGAAATCATTCTACACTAATATGAAAAAATCTAATGACTCAACAACCTAACTTTACCTACATTGAATTCTATGAACCACTTCTACAGCTCATGCACAGCAAATCCAAGAGTTATCAAAATGCTCTCGACTTCAATAAGTTTCAAATTTATTAGACAAGGTCCATGGGCTCTATATGAAATTCGTAGTTTGGCCTTCTCTTCTTAGCACAAAGTTGATTAGTAGGACTCACATGAAGATGATTTGTGAATAAATATAGCTTGATTTCTGGTCTTATTATGTGTTTTATTTCCTTAATGTTGTTGCTTTTCATGTTTATAGGAGATTTTAACTTAATCTACAATTTTGTGAGAGGTTGTGATTGTCTTGAATTTAACTGAGGAGGTGGCTTTACATACTATAGATTACAAAAAGCTGATCCATATACCCACAATAATATGTTGGGATTGAATCTTATTGAGTTGACTCCTTGACATTAAATACCAGTTTGTGGCACAGTTCATGTTAATAAGTTGTATTCATCGAGTAGTTTTTGTCTAAGTAATACTTTTACTTCAATTACTGGTATAAATAACAACCCATGTAATTATTAAAATTCGATACCACTGTCAAAATTGATTTACTTGTATGCATCAAATACGATATCTTTTCAAAATAACTAGATAATTAAGTAACAACCTTAAAGAAACGTACCTGTGATGTAGGAGGCGGTGGGTATAGATGTTTCTGAGATTCCCAAATTTTAGTGCGAATAGAATGAAGTAAACAGGCATATGTCAATCCATATTCATTTTCCATAGCTTGGATGAAGCTATTAGTCATGCAACCACCTGTAGTGTTGCCTGTGGCAACCTGTAGAAATGATGTGAATATACTAAGTGTTAGGTGGTATTTGCATATATATATATATATTATCATTTACATCCCATACGTAGTATGTTTTCTTTAAACAGCATATGGTTGGTGCTGAGTCCAGAACCCCATAACTTGTGCCTTAGAAGTAAACATAGAAACAAAAAGATCACCAACTTTAACAAGGTGAAGATCTTCAATCCAAAAGGTATCCTTGATTTTAAAAGGTTGATTCAGGGAAAATTAGAAATGCCATGGATGATATTTTGTGATTCATCTATCACTTCGCACTTTTGTACATGAAAGCCTGCTGCTTGAAATCCTTCTCTTCAAAAGGAATATTTGTCTATACACATGCATAGGTTATTTATACTCCTAACTAGACTTTAAAAAATGGAAAAAAAAATCTATATCTGGATTGATTTTGAAGTAATAAAGATAATATCGCCCAAAATTATTGAATCAATCTACAATAAACCCCTCGTTTTTGTTCTTTTTATTTTCATCTCTTGCGTTGGATCAAAAAAAAAAAAAAAAAAAAGAAGAAGAAGAGGGACTTATCTACAATAAAGCTCAAACCATAAATTTTTAAGTTGAGCCACTTGTTGCATATCTTAAGGACAGTCCCTTTGTTAGACAAGCTGTGATGCTAGTCTCTTCAAAATTGGTATTACAAATACTCTGATTTCATACTTTGCTTTCAGATAAAAATTCTTATTCCTTCTTTTTTCTTTCTTTCTTTCTTTCTTTCATTACTTAGCTTCTTTCTTGATGCTCCTCCCTTTATAGGTATTATTGCACCATGCTACTATCAATATACAGCTATGAAAAGCATAAAAAAAGTATGCCCAAGTACACTATATAGAAGGAAAAAATACAACGTGAGTACCAACCTTAATATCTAAGGAGATTTGATGATCATCACAAGCACTAAAACAGATCGCTGTCCCACCACGTGTACCTTTATAAACAGCTGAACGCTGGTCATCCCATGCATAGTATCCTTGCCTGCAAGAGAAGAACAACGGCTAAGGTTTTTGTTCAGAATATAAGGTGTGAAAGAAGTGCCTACTGTTTCAGGTTAGTTATTCAAACAATAAACAAATCACTAACTGGTTCATCCTGCACATGAATGGTAGATCTAAAAAGGTTCCGCTTTTGCAAGTATCAATGACGGCATGGAGTTTGGCTCCACGAGGTAGTGGCCTTACAATGGTGGCATTGATCTCATCATCCAGTATGTTTCCCTCAGTCAGATAATCGACGGGGCATAGTGATTCATCATACCCATCTAACTCATCCCCATTATTATCAGGCACTTGTGAGCTATGACCCGTGTAGTAAAACACCAACGAGCTCCCTGATTGGCAACCCTGGATGAGCCAAGACAACGCATTACGGATGTTCTGTTTAGTAGGCATCCGGTATGGGTTCATCTCTTCTTCTGCACATTGGTAATGTTTGTTGTCAAATAAGAAATTGAAATATTGAAACCACTTGATATGACTAGTATTTTTATGTGTATGTGTGTGTTAGAGAGAGAGAGAGAGGGAGAGAGAGATACCTGTGAGGACTAAGACAGATTGACTTGGGAAACCCAACCTATTAACCAGCAAGTTAGTCATAGACCTTACATCGCGAACACTACCCTGTACATTTTTTTGATGACCGTGGTAGCTTATTCCGATTAACAGTGCCTTTTTCGTTCCATACACTGGAAGCTGTAAAGGCTGAGGTGATGATTGTGGTGGTGGTTGGTAATAACCTGTGGAATAATAATTAGGATAATTTTGGGTATAACCATTGTACTGGTTTGCTGCTGGGACAATGTAGCCATTGTTTTTGGGGCAGACAATGGTAGCATAGCACTTAGGACAACGTGCGATCGTGGCACCAGGTGGCACTGATAGTAGCACCCCACAACTTGTGCAATTCATTCTTTCCATTTTTGTGCTGTTGCAATTATTTTTTTAGAGTAGCCGGTTTTCTTAGGACCTTAAAATAGACAATGATGTTTGAGGGGAATTTTTGCCAATTTGTTCCCTTTCATATTTTGAGCTGTGTTCTTAATTGGTGGAGAACTAGATTCACTCTTTTTAGTTGCTTTGATTCATTTCTTATCACTTGTTTGGAGACACGTATTTTGAGCTTTATTCTTAATTGGTGGAGAACTAGATTCACTCTTCTTAATTGCTTCGATTCATTTCTTATCGTTTGTTTGGAAACAAGCCTATACACAGACCAACTCTTTAATGGGGTGTTTGGTAGTGAATATGAACTAGGTTATTCAAAATATACATAATTTGTAATTTACAAATGTATAGATGTCTAGACGTAATCAGATTAACAATAGGAGTTGGCAGAAATAGGCAAACAATTAGGGCCTGTTTGGTTGCACCAATGGAATATCAGAATAAACAATTTGATTATATAATTTGTACATGGGAGTATTAAAAAATGGTCGATTTCACATTTTCCATACAATCTAATGGACCGCCATTGTTATCAGTTAAGCAGCACAACCGTGGACATGTAGCATTACACGTTATGATATAGATATGAGATGTCAACATGACAATTTTCAAAATATGCATAATACGACACATGAAGGACACATAATATTTAGTTTTGTATATTCATTATATGTCGTCATATATAAAAATATGTCATTCAAAATAATTTTAAAAAAAATACAACATAGCACTAATTTTTGTACGTTTACATTTTTTAATTTAATTTTATTATATTATTTAGGCCTAAGTTATTTTGTTAAAATTTATAATTAATTTCTTGTGTATCTAATCGATGCACATGTGTTTTCTAAGTGTCCTAAAGTGTTCGATTTTAAAAAAATAATAGAAAAGTAAAAAATGTAATGATGTCCGACACGTACATGCCATTATCTTAAAAATGTCCATACTCGTTCAATTGTCAGTCAATGATTCGTTTCAATAACTTACCAAAATAAAAATGTTCCTCCATATAAAGTTATTAGGTTTGACGACTATTCAAATGCTCTTTACTATCCATAAAGTTTTATGAGAATGAAAGGGCTAAAAGGTTCTTGCCATTATGTCAAATGATGGATGCTAGTTGAGCTATAAGTGGTCTGATTTCCCATTTGTATAACATTTCAGAAGTTGAGCACAAACTCTTTTTTTAATATTGGCTTAAACCAAAAACCAACTATAAAGTGATTCTCATATTTAAATACTAGGTAAATTACACCAGTAATTTTTATACTTTGTTCTTTATGTCATTTCGATTTTTATAATTTTAATTGACTTGATTTTGGCATTAAATTTATGATTTTGTCTTAATTTAGTTCAAATGATTATAATTTTTGGTGTTTTTTGGTAGAAAATAAGCACATAAATGACATGTGTCATACATTTATAAGTAAAATTATAAAATTATTTAACTTAGTTAATTTCAACGAACTCGGTAAGCTATTTTCTTTCAAAAATCTTAATTAGCGTCAACAATTATACCAAATTGAAACAAAATTTAAAATTAAGGGTCAAAATTAAGCTAATAGAAATGATATGGACCAAAATGATACGCATTGAATTTGATTTTCGAAGATATTAACTGCCAATTTCATTTTCAAAAGACGTTCATGTTCAAAACTGCCAATAAAAGGTTGCTAATGTTTTGCATGATATTCTATAGAAAAAAGTCAAGAAAAGCGATTTGATACAATTAATCTTCTCTTTAGTCTCAAACAAAAGTATAAACATCTTACCAAAGAATCATATTATTAGGGGAATATGAAATTGAGGACTCTCGTTTACTCAAATTGCATGTAAATAACACCTTCTTTTTTTTTTCTTTCTCTTTGGGGGTGTTTGGGAAGAAAAAATTTAGTCTGATTTAGGCTAAAATTTACAAAAAGATAAAATAGACTGAAATAGCTAATAAGACAAAATGTCATATCAAACCGATAATCATATCACTTTTTTCCTTACAAACATCACATCCAACTATATAAAAATCTAATCATCTTCTCAAATACAAAAATTTTAACCTGCTAAAATAGCCGAAAACTAAAATAGCCTACTAAAATAATAACTTCTCAAACACCCACTTTATAGAGTCGATTGGGTTACAAATCCTTGCTTCCGCTCCACAATAGCTCCCATATTAACATGGGCCCAAGACGACACCGGTTGCATATCGATAACATTCTTTGACATGGTATAATTACACATGCCTACAAGTTGAATTTCTCTGTATCAACATTAAATGGTGTTGAAGATGATAGCTGAGTTTCCTGCACAGCTCCAGGTAATAGCCCAAATCAGTTAAGAATTAGATAGTGCTTTCAAGTGACATTAAAATGGTGGCAAATTGTGTCATTGAAGAGGATACGATGTGGGTTTTATTCAACTTGATAACAAAATAATGCTACAATACTTGAATGTAATCTACTGATATCAATACATATAGTATCTTCTTTATTCAAAACAAAAAATTGATAAATTGTGTCCTCATATTAGATTATGAATTTATAGTTTGTGTTCAAGCATGATCATGTAGAAATTGGAAAAGAAGCTTGACCTGTATTAACTTGTGGCAGAACATCCTTAGGAGACATCCTGAACTATTACTATTAGCATGCTTAATCTGCTCATGCATCTTTTCGAGTAGATTACCGTATGTTATTCTAGGGTTTTGCCTAATTGTTTGATCGAAAATGTAAGTCATGGCGCCAGTCATTTTGTTTCTTGAGAAGGCCTGCATAATTCAAGAAAATAGGGATGAACAAGAATTCGCATAAAGATGAGAGTAATGGCAAGTTGGGAATGCCAATATGGTAAGACAATGTGGTTTACAATGCCAACAAAAAGATAAATCTAGCTCGCCTTTTTTTGGCTTTTTTTCCGTCACCTTTATGAAAAGGAAAATGATTTTTGTCACTGAGTGAATTTCATTGGTTTTTATTGTGTGGATCGATTTGGTAAATTTCATTAGAAAATGAACTCTTACAGTTGTATCGGAAGCCATTTGATCATCAGCGCAGGCGCTCAAAGAGATAGCTAGTCCACCATCTGTACTTTTCCTTACACCTGAAGGAGGTTTGTTATCCACCCACCGTTTCCTTTTGAAATCCAATGTTAAAAACAAAAACAAAAAACAAAACAAAGCAAAACCAAAAAAAGAGAGAAGTTATGTTGTCTATCGTTGCAAATATCTCAAGTTCATATCTAATAGGTAGAATGTTGAATATACATGTGACCTTGTTTAAGATTTCAATTTCAAATTTTCAAATACAATTGTGTATGTTCTAGTGAGAAATATCATTTTACAACTTTGGTAGTTAAATTTGTGTGTGAAACATAATGGACCAATGAAAAATTCAAATGCCTTTTACTGATTTTGTTAGATCATCAGTTGTGTATGAGCAGTGGGGTGTAGATGCACGTCCAAGTTTCAGCCCTTCCTAAACCTAAATCTTTTGATATTGGGATATGTATCCAGAAGTTAAATATAGGTACGGGGAGATGCCTTGAACACTGATATATATTACTTAAATATAGGGCTGTGTGGAGAAGAAGGATTCATGTAGCCTATCCCATTTGATGGGACTTGCTTGGTTTGGTTTTGTATAATATCCTTAGAAAATGTGATGTAAATTATGTAGAAATGCTTGAAATTAAATAGAATTTAGGAAAAATATAAAATTTGTATCTTCTACCTATATGAGAGAATATTTTTTTTCCTAACAAATGTGAACTTTTCTTCAAACGTCATATAAAATTAGAGGGTTAGAGTGTCTAAATTAAGTATAAGTATCGGAATATATCTCACACCCTTACTCTTATCATTTCTAACGGACATGGATACTCAGGGAGAAAAAAAAGAGAGAACTAGACTGAACTAAACTTTTTCCACTAACACAGACTGAGAACCTCCTCAAACTAGAGCTCCGCCATCTTAAATTGTTAACTACTAACTCATCTAAAAACTTTGTAAATTGGCAATCTAACAAATTGAGATTGAAGACTAGAACTAGGACTCAGAAACACTTACGGTATGCTGTCGTAAACATGCTCTAGATCAAGGATGGTTCCGCTGTGACAGGCATCGATAATGGCATGAAGTTTGACACCTTCCTTGAGGGGCTTGACAATGGTATTATTGATATCATTATCAAGGATCATTCCAGCAGTCATGAAATCAGAAGGACAGATAGTTTCATCGTAGCCATCGATCTCATCCATATCAAAATCAGGTTGTCGTAAACCATGTCCAGAGAAGTAAAACACCAAGGAGTCCCCCGACTTGCAGTCCGCCACAAGCCATCTCAAGGCCTTCTGCATGTTCTCCTTTGTTGGAATAAGGTTTGGGTCATCCTCCTCTTCTGCAATTTGCTTAAATTTAAATAATTAATAGATCATCCGTAAAAGAAAACATAAACATAAGACTTAAAACTTAAGAGTGGGATTTTTTTTTTCTTATATTAAATTAATGTTTTTGATAATTTTAATTATCTGTGAATGTAATATTAATTTACATAGTAAATAAAATATATATAATATATTTTTATACCTTTCATTCGATTTTTGGGAGATCGATAAAAGAGTTGTTCCTGACACCTCTGAATTGCGAGTGCATGCTTATAGAGAAGTGACATAACATGTTGAAGCAGCTCACTAACTCAGAAGGGCACAATCCACTCTCAAGACAGTGAATGCACGCCCCTGTCGATAAGTTTTCTTTGACTTTGTATTGTTTAATTTTATATAGCAAAATTGTCACATATTTATATGAAGCCGATGCTGGTTCTGTCAACTGTATTTGTTCTTTTTGGCAATCCTTGCAGACATTCACTGGTTCGACATTTTTAAACATGGTCTCAGTCAAGTGCTTGGTAATGATTTATTTCCTTTTGGGGTGATCTAAATAAGTGTACTTTTTGACTTTTTATGAAAAGATGTACAGAAAAGTAGAGAGGTGATGTGACCCGAAAAAGATAAAAAGATAAAAAGTGTGCTTATATAGCACACCCCAAATGGAATTATGTCACACACTTCTATAAAAGGCATGGATTAGAATAAATACCTGTTAGAACACAAATAGAAGTTTCAAGAAAACCAAAATGATCGGTTAGAAGAGATTTCATTCTATTCACATCATTTATTGTTCCCTTGAGCTTGTGCTTCTTCTTTTGGTAACTGACTCCGCAAAGAACTGCCCGCTTTGGTAGATGTACACCGATATTATTAGTCATAGGATTTAGCTTTCGATCAGGCTTTGGCAATGCAGCATGTCGGCTTTTGTTTTCTTGCAATCTTGTTTTCCAACAAAAGCACAAATGTCCCTTCGGGACAGTTTCACATACTTCTATTGAAATCAGAGATTCACAAGATTGGCGTAGGGTGTTTTTGGAGTCCGGTGTTTCCATAACCTTGTTGTGGCAGTTACCACATGAAATTTCTCTAGTGTTCATTGTTTTTGGTTTTGTTTGTAGGGAAGGAGGCAGAGCAACAAAAAGGATTGAATTTATGACGCCAACATGGTGAGGTATAATAGAATTTTACAAAATCCAACCAACCGAGGAGCAACTAAAATGGGATTTTACTAGTGAGCTGTTTTTAATTTTGTTCAACAAACTTTTTCTGCTATTTTAAAGTTTTATTCTATAGCCCTATATAAAGTGTGAAGAACTAGATACCCTATGTTTAATTTTTTTTCTTTTGAGAGTGTTCACATTGGCAATTGATCTTTGGATATCAAGCAGATCATTTTAAGCACCATTTTGGTAATGAATGTCAAAAAAGTGAAAATCAAATAGTTTTTTTACCAGGAAAATTGCGAAAGAAAATCCCACTTCATAGAATCTGATCATTTTTCTTAATCATATTCTTTCTCAGTTGTTAAAGTCCAATGACAGTGCTTTGAATATCATGACCAGTATGCTTGATGTCGGCATTATGTTTTGTAGCATGTAGACTGTTGGATCGGGAAGATTAGCCAGCTCTATCTATCCCCTTTATGTAGCCTCACCCTCATGCATAGTTTGTTTTTTCCCCCAAAATGTGCTTATCCATATAGCTTTTTCTCAGTGCTCTTTGATTCTGCAGGTCATTGAGAAATGAATGGATTTGAATTGAAGACTAATTAGCATTTTCACAAGCAGCGATCAAACCTTATCAACCAATCATCTTCTTAATACATCATTGGGTCTAAAAAGTAGATCTAAGTTTTCGATCTGAATAGCAATACTTTTGAAAAATTAATTACAATGTTGAAATAAATCCATGGAAAAGGAATCTATATGAGAGTAGTGTAGTCAAAAGCCATTTGGGTCTGCAATGTCTATATATTCTACCAACAATAATGTAAAGTGTGAGAAGAACATAAAGAACCTGATGCTCCACTGTTGTTTATGTCCTGTACACGCATGTACAGATGGAAACATGTACGAAATGAAGAATTTAAAAAAAAAAAAAATTAAAAAGAAAAGAGGTGCTTTTCTCACTCTATTTTTGGGTTGATTGATCCCCATCCGTTCTCAAGAAAATTGCTACTGTATAACCGTTGTAAGTTGATTCAAATTCTTTGAAGAAATTTGATCACTAACAATGGAAGTCATGTTCACAATGAGAAGACAACTCTATTAAAGTAGAGTTTAAGGAACGTACAGTTTTAGAAAAGACTGTTTTCTATAGCCTCTGTTTGGTTTGTGAAAATGATGGGCCAAAAGATAAAAAAAATGATTTCTTTCATATTTTTCTCCACCTAATGAAGTTAGGTTTAAAATTACAACTTTCTCATGAATGATCACAAATCAAGAATAGAATACAAATTAGAGCATCTAAAATTAAAGAACAAATGCTACTTAAATGATCACAAATCAAGAATAGAATACAAAATAGAGCATCTAAACTTAAAGAACAAATGCTATATACTAACCGGTTCATTAGAAACAAAAAAGCTGATCCTACTTTCTCTGTTCCAAAATCTCTTTTCACCACACGATTTCTTCACACGACGGGTCTATTACTCACATGATGGATGCTAGTTGAGCTGTAATTGGTCTGATTTCCCATTGGTATAATATTTCAAATGTTGAGCACAAACTCTTTTTTTAATATTGGCTTAAACCTTGATTCTCATATTTAAATATTAGGTAAATTACACCAGTAATATTTATACTTTGGTCTTTATGTCTTTTAGATTCTTATAATTTTAATTGACTTGATTTTGACAATAAATTTATAATTTTGTCTTAATTTAATTCAAATGATTATAATTTTTGATGTTTTTTGACAGAAAATATGCATATAAATGACACGTGCCATACTTTTATAAGTAAAATTATAAAGTTGTTTAACTTGGTTAATTTCAACCAACTCAGTAGGCCATTTTCTTTCAAAAATCTTAATTGGCGTTATCAATTATACCAAATTGACACAAAATCTAAAATTAAGGATCAAAATTAAGCTAATAGAAATGATAGGGACCAAAATGATACACATTGAATTTGATTTTCAAAGATATTCATGTTCAGAACTGCCAATTTCATTTTCAAAAGATGTTCATGTTTAAATCTACCAATTTGAATTTCATGTTCAAAACTGCCAATAAAAGGTTGCAAATGTTTTGCAAGATATTCTATTTCACAAGCCAAGAATAGCAATTTGATAAAATTAATCTTCTCTTTAGGCTCAAACCAAAGTATAAATATCTTACCAAATAATCATATTATTAGGGGAATATGAAATTGAGGACTCTCATTTACTCAAACTGCATGTAAATAACACTTTTTTTTTTCTTCCCCTTCTCTTTATATAGTCTATGGGATACAAATCCTTGTTTTCGCTCCACAATAGCTCCCATATTAACATTGGGCCCAAGACGACACCGGTTGCATATTGATAACATTCTTTGACATGGTATAATGCTAGGATGACCAGTACATATGCCTACAAGTTGAATTTCTCTTTATCAAGATTAAATGGTATTGAAGATGATAGCTGAGTCTCCTGCACAGCTCCAAGTAATAGCCCAAATCAGTTAAGAATTAGATAGTGCTTTCAAGCGACATTAAAATGATGGCAAATTGTATCATTTAAGAGGATATGATGTGGGTTTTATTCAACTTGATAACAAAATAATGCTACAATACTGTTGGGGAATTTTCAAAATGGTTTTTAAAATGTATAGTTTAATTTTTAGATGGTTTTTAAAATGTATAGTTTAATTTTTGGGTGTTTTCAAAACTTTCCTTATTTTTCTTTGGAAAGCTTGAAATAAGCTCGGGAACTTTGTCCCACATCGGAAAAAGAGAAAAACATGGAGCACTTAATAAAGTACTGCATGGAATATTCTTTTAAATATGGAATTATGAGGTGAAAACTAGTGTGCATGCACACACACCACAATCCGCACACGCGTGCACATGTGGCGTGGGCTGTGTGGTGTTTGATGGCGCACTTTGCACTTAGCAAGGTGCCATAAGGGCGCTTTCCTATTTGCATCGGATAGGTGCGATGACGTGGCATGGGTGACATGGAATACAGTCAGCTTCACATGGCAATGACGTGGTGTCCGTTGGTAATGAGTCAACCAATCGATCAAACGGTTGTGTGTCCGATTTCGAGCCGGTTGATCATAGCCGTTGATTGGAGATGTGCGCGATCGTACGGATGAGATGGCGCCCGATCGTGATCAAGTGTGATTAGTCAAAGCTTCTATTCGGTGTGAGAATGATCTGTACCGTAGATCGTCTATCCTATGATCAAATTTGATCGGATGCGATCAAGGGACATGACCATTCGATCAGGTGCATCAAGGTCTATAAATAGGCTACGAAATTAGCCATTTCATTCCATCATCGCCTACAAGGCGCCGTGAGGGCGCTTTCCTACTTGCATCGGACAGGTTGGAGCGATGATATGGCATGGGTGACATAGAATACAGTCAACCTCACGTGGCAGTGACATGGTATCCGTTGGCGATAAGTCAACCAACCGATCAAATGGTTGTGTGTTTAATCTGGAGTGAGTTGATCATAGTCGTTGATTGGAGATGCGCGTGATCGTACAGATGAGATGACACCCGATCGTGATCAGGTGTAATTAGTCAAGGCGCTTATTCGATATAAGAATGATCTGCACCGTAGATCATCAATCCAACGGTCAGATCTCATCAGATGCAATCAAGGGATATGACCATTCGATCAGGTGCATCAAGGCCTATAAATAGGCTACGAAATCAGCCATTTCATTTCATTCAAAAATTTAGAATTCATTCCTGCAATTCTCTCTCTCTCTCTCTCTCTCTCTCTCTCCCCCTTTCCTTCTTGATTTAGAGTTTTCAATCAAGAGTTTCTTAAGCAAATTTATACTTTTCTTACTAGTAATCAAGTTCTGCAAATTTGATTATCAGTGTCTTGGTTTTCTTGATTCTATCAAGAATACTCTGATCTATTGTCGTTAGTGCAGATGCCGGTAGAGTTGATCTTTAGATCAGGCTTTATTGTATCCTGGAGGCAAATTTGCTGTAACTCCTTGTATACCTTTTGGTGGGTGCAAATATTGTCTTTAGGAAAATGATTTAGTAATGCCACTTGAAGCACCAAATTTCTGTCATGCATAGACAAGATCATTGCCAAGTTTTGAAGACCCGAAGACCACCAATTGAAAAGTTCATGACAATTTGCTCCAACGATCTAAAGAAAATATTTGGATATGGCAATGTCTATTCAGAAAATGACTCAAGATTTCATGAAGCTTGACTGTTTTGATGGAGGAAATTTCCGACACTGGCAAAAGAAGATGCACTCTTTGTTCACCACTCTCAAAGTGGTCTATGTGCTGACTACCTCCTATCCAATAGAGCAAGAAGATGAGACTATGGAGCAAACCTGTACCAGAGCCAAATGGGAGAATGACAACAACATTTGCCGAGGACACATTCTGAATGCACTGTCACACTCTCTATTCGATGTGTATCAACATCTGAAAATGGCAAAGCAACTCTAGGACATACTACAATCAAAGTATCTCACCGAGGATGCCACCAGTAAGAAATTTCTTGTTAGAAATTTTATGCATTTTACTATGATTGATACAAAGCCCATTATGGAACAATTCCATGAGATCCAACATATTCTGAGTCAATTTCAACAAAACAATATGAACATGGATGAATCTATTGTAGTTTCGTCTATAATAAAGAAACTGCCATCTTCTTGGAAGGATTTTAAGAAAACTCTGAAACACAAAAAGGAATATCTAACTTTAGAGGAATTGACTCAACACCTCTAAGTTCAGGAAGAGTCAAGACTTCTTGAAAGTAAAGAAAACCAATTGGCTCAGACTTCCAAGATTCACATGGTGGATGACAGCAAGAAATTGAACAAAAAGAAGCGTAAGCATGAACCCCAACTTGAGAAAAATGCTAAGAAGTCGAAAGGAGCTTGCTGGTACCGTGGCAAGCCAGGGCACTTCAAAAATGAATGCTGGTCATACAGGAAGAAGCCAGAAGCATCAAATTCCAAGAACAAGTTTGCGGCTGTTGTATCCGAGGTGAACATGCCCGAAGATGCTGGTGACTGGTGGATTAATTCAGGAGCAGCAAGACACGTTTGCAACGACAAGAGTCGTTTCATTACTTATGAACAAGTGAGTGATGGAACAGTTCGCTACATGGGCAACTTTTTAACTGCTGCTATCAAAGGCAAAGGGACGGTGGATCTAGAGTTTATATCTGGAAAAGTCTTAAGTCTTAATGATATTTATCATGTACCTAATGTCAAGAAAAACCTTATATCTGGAAGCCTGCTTAATAAGCATGGTTTCAAGTTAGTATTTGAGTCGAATAAATTTGTCCTGTCTAATGGTGAAATTTTTGTTGGGAAGGGCTACATGTATTGGGGAATGTTCAAACTTAACATTGTCAATAATACATCTATTTCTGCTTATATTGTTAATTCTCTTTCTTTATGGCATGCTCGTTTAGGTCATGTTAATACTAGGAAAATGCATGATATGGTTAATTTAGATTTAATTCCTAAGTATGACATTGATATATTTGAAAAATGTAAATTTTGTGTGCAATAAAAAATTACTCTCATTTAATTTCCTAAAGTAGATAAAACCACATCTCTATTTAAACTTGTGCATAGTGATGTATGTGACATGCATAGTACCCCCGCTAGAGGTGTTGAGAAATATTTTGTAACATTCATTGATGATTTTTTCTAAGTACTGTCATATCTATCTTTTGCATTCAAAAGATGAGGTGCTTGATAAATTCAAAATTTTTAAGACAGAAGTAGAAAATCAGTGTAATGTCAAAATAAAGAGACTTAGGTCTGATAAAGGCGGTGAATACCATTTTCCAGAATATTGTGAAAATGTTTGTATTATTCATGAGAAGTCCGCACCCTACACACCACAACAAAATGGAGTAGCTGAAAGAAAGAATAAGACATTAACAGAAATGATTAATGCTATGCTTTCTTACTCCAGTTTAAGTTCTGATTTTTGGGTGAAGCCTTGCTCACTGCCTGTCACATACTCAATAGAATTCTTCTCAAGGGAAGAAATTTTACTCCTTATCAACTTTGGAAAAACACGAAACCTAATCTTGGTTACTTGAAATCATGGGGCTGCAGAGCAATAGTCAGATTGCCTGAACCTAAAAGGAAGAAATTAGGTGAAAATGGAATTGAATGCATATTCCTTGGCTATGTCATACATAGCAAAGCATATAGGTTTCTGGTAGTAGAGCCCAATGGTTCAGTGGAAACAAATGCCATCATTGAATCACGTGATGCGGTATTTTATGATAATCGTTTCACAACCATTCCAAGGTTGGATTCTAATCAAGAAAATGAATAAACTCCTTTGATGTCTACAGAAGAAAGTAAACGACACGAACCCATTGAGCCTAATGAACCTAATGAGCTTATTGAACTAAGGAGGAGTGAGAGGGCTAGGACTGAGAAGTCATTTGGCCCTGATTTCGTTATTTACCTTGTAGAAGGAACTAGGAAAGTTTATTGTAAACAAACAGTGATTTCTTTAAATATGGATTCAGATCCACTGACCTTTGAAGAGGCTATGAAGTCTCAAGATGTTGCTTTCTGGAAAGAAGCAATAAACGATGAAATGGGTTCTATCATGGGTAACAATACCTAGATACTTGTTGATTTGCCACATGGATCCAAGCCAATTGGTTGTAAAAGGAAAATGAAAGTTGATGGCACAATTGATAAGTTCAAAGCAAGATTAGTTGTTAAGGGTTTTACTTAAAAGGAGGGTATCGATTATTTTGATACATATGCTCCGGTGGCTAGAATTGCCACCATTCAAGTGTTGATTGCCTTAGCCTCAATCTATAAGCTTGAAATCCATCAAATGGATGTTAAGACTGCATTCCTAAATGGAGAGTTAGATGAAGTAATCTACATGCAACAACCGAAAGGATTTGTTGTGCAAGGGCAAGAACACAAAGTGTGTAAACTTGTCAAGTCACTATATGGACTGAAATAAGCTCCAAAATAGTGGCAAGAGAAATTTGACAAAGTAATAGTGTCAAATGGTTTTAGGATACATGAATCTGATAAGTGTGTGTATAGTAAGTTTACTGGCAATAGAGGTGTAATCATATGCTTATATGTAGATGACATGCTTATTTTTGGTACTGACAATGATGTCATTAAAAGTACTAAAAGTTTCGTGTCGTCAGTATGAAAGACATGGGCTTGGCTGATGTAATTCTGGGTATTAAGGTCAAACGAGAGGACAATAATTTGATTCTAACCCAGTCGCGATGTAAAAAAAACTAGTATGTTTGGGATGACTTTTTAGCTTTTTACGAAAAGATGTGCAAAAAGTAGAGAGAAAAGGAAATCTTTGATTTTTTGGTATGGGTTGTTGGCTTTTTGATTTTTTCAGTAACTTTTTGGTTTTTTGACTAAAAAAATCACTTGCCAAACGAAGCCTAGTATGAAAGACATGGGCTTGGCTGATGTAATTCTGGGTATTAAGGTCAAACGAGAGGACAATAATTTGATTCTAACCCAGTCGCACTATATTGAGAAAATTCTTAAGAAATCTAATCAATATAATTGTACACCCATGTCTACACCTTTTGATTCAAATTTGAAATTGTATCCTAATACTAGAAGAGCTGTTGATCAACTAGAATACTCAAGAGTAATACGTAGCTTGATGTATGCCATGACTTGCACTAGACCTGATATTGCATTTGCAGTGGAAAAACTTAGTGAATACATTAGTAAACCCAATAGTGTGCATTGGCATGCTATTAATTGAGTACTTAGGTACTTGAGGAAAACAATAGACTATGAAATAATCTATAATGGCTATCTAGCAGTGCTGGAAGGATTCACGGATGCTAGTTGGATAACTGACCGTGAAGATCACTCATCCACGAGTGGTTGGATTTTTACTCTTGGAAGAGGAGCTATCTCCTGGGATTCTAAGAAGCAAACATGCATAACAGACTCAACCATGGCGTCAGAGTTTGTAGCATTGGCTTCTTGTAGCAAAGAGACAGAGTGGCTAAGGAATCTCTTGTTAGAGATTAAGATATGGCCAAAACCTATACCACCAATATCTTTGCATTGTGATAGTGAAGCAACTCTATCACAGGCCTATAGCCACGTCTATAATGGAAAGTCCACACACATAGGACGGAGACATAGCTGTGTTAGGCAGTTAATCACAGAAGGTGTGGTTACCATTAGTTATGTAAAGTCAAGTGAAAACTTGGCCGACCCCTTAACAAAGGGACTTGCAAGGGATTTGGTGTGGAAAACATCAAAGGGGATGGATCTTAAGCCCACTTAGCATAATCCCTCCTGGTGGAAACTCGACTCAACGCTTGAAGAAACATCAAGTCTTGAGTTCAATGAGCTCAAGTACGCCATATGTCGTGATTGCAAGCACTTAGTTTTATTTCATTTTCATCCCTAGGTTGAAGTGTTTGGTACCTGTAATATGAAAAGAAGAAGATGAGTTAGCAAACTCTTAACAAGTTTATAATTGAATTGTTATGGTACTGTAAATTACAGGGGTACTCTTAGTAAGCTTACCGATGTGAGTGTAGGAGGTGCTGCTGCTTTCTATAAGTCCAAAGGCTTGACTCTAGAGCGCTCATGAAATAGGATATAGACACAAGGCAAATCCACGTGCCGATTTGTTTGTATACTTGAGGTAACTTGTACTATGCATGAGACATGTCCAGTTAGTCGTATAAGATCTCTAGTTCAAAGACAAGTCTACTATGCCATCTTGACTAACTTTGAGATGTCTTCACTAAGTAAATGATTCAAATCGTAAGATATCTTCACCTATACATAATTCTGCCAAGTGAACCAAGAGTCATCATTTGGTATTTTGAAAATGGTGGGGGAATGTTGGGGAATTTTCAAAATGGTTTTTAAAATGTATAGTTTAATTTTTGGATGGTTTTTAAAATGTATAGTTTAATTTTTGGGTGTTTTCAAAACCTTCATTATTTTTCTTTGGAAAGCTTGAAATAAGCTTGGGAACTTTGTCCCACATCGGAAAGAGAGGAAAACATAGAGCACTTAATAAAGTGCTACATGGAATATTCCTTTGAATATGGAATTGTGAGGTAAAAGCTAGTGTGCATGCACACACACTGCAAGGATGGTGCTTCGCACCATCTGCACCCGCGCATGCACAAGCTCGTGCGCGTGGCTTGGGCGGTGGGCTGTGTGACGTTTAATGGTGCACTTTGAACCTATGAAGCATGGACACTCCAAAAATGGTGCCGTGGCAGTGTCCGACACGCGGACACGCTGGGGACACGTACGGGACACGCCAGATGGCGTGTCCCTTTAATTTAATGATTTTTTTGGGAGGGGACACGGCAGGGACACGGCGGGGACACGCGTGTCCATATCTGGACACGCCATGGGACACGACGGGGCTCTTTTTTGAATTTTTTATATTTATTTGGGGTCAAAGTATAATATTTAAAAAGTTAAAAAAAAAAAAAACACACCAACGGGCAAAGCCCTAATCGAATAACTAGGGATTAAATGAGTAAAATCAGACCTGCGAAGCCCTCCTCTCTCTCTGTCGAAGCCTTCTGAAGTCGATCGAAGCTCTCTCTCAGTCGCAGCCCTCCATTGTCGATCGAAGCCCTCCGAAGTCGATCGTAGACCTCTGATCCAGTCGTCTCTGTCTCTGTTTCAATCGATCCAGTCGTCTTCGACCCTCGATCCACTCGTCTTCGAAGGTAACCCTCTTTCGCCTCTGCCTCTCTCTTTCGCTCTCTCTCTCTCTCTCTCTACTCTGCTTCGGTTCGACTGAACTGAACTGTCTTCATTTTTTTTTTCTTTTTTTTTTATACGTTCGACCAGACTTTTTTATTTTTATTTTTGTTTTTATTTTTATTTGTTTATACATTTACATATATAAGACCTTTTTTTTGTTTAATTATATGTAAAAAAAATTGTATTTAAAACTGTGAGATTTTTATGAGTATATATTAAAAACTGTAAAAATTTTTTTTATACAGTATGTAAACTCTTTTTTTTTTATTTTTTATATATAAAATTGTATTTAAAAAATAATAATTATAGGTTTATATATATACATATATACAGTATGTAATTTACATAACACATACAAATATATATATTAAAAAAAAAAAATTCGGCGTGTCCCCCGCCGTGTCCGTGTCCCCTTTTTTTGAAAATTGCCGTGTCCCGTGTCCGTATCCGTGTCCGTGTCCGTGTCCGTGCTTCATAGATTAGAAATATATTCTTTGTGTTTTAAAAAACAGGTAAAATTGAAAACTGAAATTAGCTGAGCCCGAAAATTGTCATGTTGCTGAATTTTTCACCAATGTCGTTCCCAGAAACGATGTAATACAAATCTACATAACACATAAAAATATATATATAAAAAAAAAAAATCGCCGTGTCCCCCGCTGTGTCCGTGTCCCCATTTTTTGGAAATTCCCATGTCCCGTGTCCCGTGTCCGTATCCATGTCCGTGCCCGTGCTTCATAGCTTTGAACTTAGTACGGACGCATCGACGCAAAGCACCATGAGGGAACTTTCCTATTTGCATTGGACAGCCGATCATGATCAGGTGTGATTAGTCAAGGTGTTTATTCAGTGTGAGAATGATCTATATCGTAGATTGTCAATCCAACGATCAGATCTGATCAAACGCGATCAAAGGACACGATCATTCGATCAGGTGCATCAAGGCCTATAAATAGGCTACGAAATCAACCATTTCATTCCATTCAAAAATTCAGAATTCATTCATACAATTCTCTCTCTCTCTCTCTCTCTCTTGATTTAGAGTTTTCAATCAAGAGTTTCTTAAGCAAATTTATACTTTTCTTGCTAGTAATCAGGTTCTGCAGATTTGATTATCAGTGTCTTGATTTTCTTGATTATATCAAAAGTATTTTGATTTACTATTGTCAGTGTAGACGCCGGTAGATTTGATCTTTAGATTAGGCTTCATTGTATCCGGGAGGCAAATTTGCTGTAACACCCTGCATACCTTTTGATGGGTGCAAATATCGTCTTTAGGAAAGCAACTTAGTAACGTGACTTGTAGCACCAAATTTCTGTCCTACATAGACAAGATCATCGCCAAGTTTTGAAGACCCAAAGACCACCAATTGAAGAGTTCAAGACAATTTGTTCCAACAAATACTTGAATATAATCTACTATGATATCAATACATCTAGTATCTTCTTTATTCAAAACAAAAAATTGATAAATTGTGTCCTCATATTAGATTATGAATTTATAGTTTGTGTTCAAGCATGATCATGTAGAAATTGGAAAAGAAGCTTGACCTATATTAACTTGTGGCAGAATATCCTTAGGAGGCATCCTGTACTATTACTATTAGCATGCTTAATTTGCTCATGCATCTTTTCGAGTAGATTACTGTATGTTATTGTAGGGTTTTGCCTAATTATTTGATCAAAAATGTAAGTCATGGCGCCAGTCATTTCGTTTCTTGAGAAAGCCTGCATAATTCAAGAAAATAGAGATGAACAAGAATTCACATAAAGATGAGAGTAATGGCAAGTTAGGAATGTTAATATGGTAAGACAATGTGGTTTACAATGCCAACAAAAAAATAAATCTAGCTCGTCATTTTTTGGCTTTTTTCCCTTTACATTTATTGAAAAGAAAATGATTTTTGTCACTGAGTAAATTTCATTGGTTTTTATTGTGTGGATCGATTTGGTAAATTTCATTAGAAAATGAACTCTTACAGTTGTATCGGCAACAATTTGATCATCAGCACAGGCACTCAAAGAGATAGCTAGTCCACCATCTTTACTTTTGCTTACACCTGAAGTAAGTTTGTTATCCACCCACAGTTTCCTTTTGAAATCCAATGTTAAAAACAAAAACAAAACAAAACCAAAAAAAAGAGAGAAATTGTTACTATGGCCCTGTTTGGTGTAGCTGTTAAAACAGATTATAGATTATAGCTTAATACATTATAGATTATGACTTTAATCAAAAGCTGTTAACTTGTTTGGTGTAGTTGTTGGATTATAGATTTAAGTTGCTGAGTAATATTTGTTAGATAAGTTATGAAGTAAGTTTTTCAATTAACTTTTATTTCTTGTTGTTCACTATTTGTCTACATTTCTCATAAATAATAATAATAATAATAATCTATAGTCTATTTGGGTCTTTTTCTATTTCTAAAAAAATAAAAAAAAATATATATAAGAGTATAATCATAAATTAACATGTTCACAGCAGAAGTTGATAAGTAGAAGCAATGGGTGAACAACAATCAGCTTTTTTGAGTTAAAATAAGTTGTTAGAATCAGAAACTGTTTGAAATAAGTTTAACCAAACAGTCCAAAATAGTATTTCCAAAGCTAGAAGCTATAAGTTGGCTCAAAAAAGCCCAAACAAACACCCCCTATGTTGTCAATTGTTGCAAATATCTCAAGTTCATATCTGATAGGTAGAATGTTGAATATACATATGACCTTGTTTAAGATTTCAATTTCAAATTTTCAGATACAATTGTGTATGTTCTAGTGAGAAATATCATTTTACAACTTTGGTAGTTAAATTTGTGTGTGAAACATAATGGTGTAAGATTTCTGAATAAGAACTGTATATTCAATTGTGTCATATTTACAAAGAGTTCAACAACTTATATAACTCTAAACCTATAACTAAAAAAGGAAATACAACCAATTCAAATATTTATACCACAATCTTTCCTAATTCATAATATACACAATTATGCCAAATTGAGAATATAAACAATATATTCTCACACTCTCGCTCAAAGTCAATGTGTTTTAGCAGAAAACACTGAGAGTTTGCTAAGAAGAAATTAAAACCGAGCAATAATATGAGTCTTGGTGAAGAAGTCCACAAGTTACAAAGCCGAAGAGAGAAAATGAAGCGAGATAGGGCTAGACTGCAGATGCTGTCGGACAAAGTGACAATCAATCTTAATGTGTTTCATCCGTTCATGGAAGACAGTATTATGGGCAATTTGAATAGCACTGCAGTTGTCACAATAGAGGGAGGTTGGAGAAGACTGAGGGACACCTAAATCAGATAAGAGACAATGAAGCCAAACAATCTCAGCAGTAGCATGAGCCATAGCACGGTACTCAACTTCGGCAGTAGAGCGAGTAACAACAGTTTGTTTTTTGCTTTTCCAAGAAGGAATCACCAAGAAACATATAGAAACCAAACGTGGACTTGCGATCAGTAACATTACCAGCCCAATTAGAATCAGTATAGGCCACCAAATCCAGAGAGGAAGTAAAGGACAATAGTAAATCCTGAAATATAGTACCTCGAAGGTAGCGAAGAATTCGAAGCAATGCAGCCCAATGTGTGGAGCGAGGAACAGAGACAAACTGGCTAACCACATGAACAACATAGGCAAGATCAAGACGAGTAACCATCAAATAGACTAAGCAACCCACGAGTTCTCAATATAAAATAGGATCATCTAGAAGAACACTATCAATAGTGTTGAGCTTTACATTAAGCTCAATGGGGGTATCAGAAATCTTAGTGTTAGTAAGACTGACATGATGAATAACCTTATTGGCATACTTGGCCTAAGATGGAAACTAACTCTTGGGAGAAGAAGCTACCTCAATACCAAGAAAATACCGCAATGGGCCCAGATCCTTCATTTCAAAGGTGTGGAAAAGATGCTGCTTGACCTTAGATATAGCAGGAGAGTCAGAACCGATGATAATCATATCATCCACATACAGTAATAATGCAACAAATCCAGCAGAGGTGTGGAGAAGAAATAAAGCAGAATCCTGGGCACAAGAATGAAACCCAAGCTCAGTAACAGCAGTTTGAAAGGGATCATACCAAGCACAAAGAGACTACTTCAGACCATACAGAGCACATCGAAGGTGACAAACCTATCCAGAGGAATGGTGAAGGCAAGGGGGAGGACGCATGTGAACCTCCTCAGTGATATGACCATTAAGAAAAGCATTCTTAACATCCATCTGATAAAGAGGTCAAGAACGAACAGTATCAACAAAGATCAAAGTACGGATAATAGTCATCTTGGCAACAAGAGCAAAGGTCTTCTCGTAATCAATACCATACTCCTGTGAGAAACCTTTGGCAACCAAACGAGCTTTGTAGCGCTCATGGGAACCATCAGAAATGAGTCTTGACTTTGTAGACCCATTTGCAACCAACTAGATTCTTACTAATAGGCAAAGGAACCAACCTCCAAGTGCTAGTTTTCTATAAAGCAGACAACTCATCCTCAATAGCTTGAACCCAATGAGGATCCTAGTAGGCCTCCTTGTAAGACTAAGGTTCTGAAAAAGAGTGAATAGCAGACAAAAAAGTATGATAGGAAGCAAAAAAATATGTATTAGACCAATCCAATCTGTTTAGAAAATGACGTGCTTGAGTAGAATATCGGTATGCAGCAGGATCAAAGTTGTTAGAAGTAGGAGGATCAGCAGTAGGGGTAGAGATAACCAGTGGAGGAGATGCCTTGCGATGAGAATAAACTAACAATGGAGAAGGAGAAAAAGAAACTGAAGGAGGAGAAATAGGGGGAGAAGATGGAATAAGCACAAGAGGAACTATGAAGATGTACTCATCAGAAGGGACCTCAGAAAGAAACGGATCAATATGAACCAAATCCTCTTTAGAAACTAGGGCGGTGAGAGGAGAAAACTGAAAGTAAGATAGACATTTGAGAAAGGCAACATGGCAGAAGACATAAAGGCAACGGGAAACAGGGTCATAATAGCGATAACCTTTTTGAGTGAGACTATAACCCAAAAAGACACATAGAACAGACCGGGCACTAAGTTTGGTTCTATCTTTACAAGGTAAAAGGATAAAACAAGCAGACACAAACATACGAAGGATGAAGTAATTAATAAGTTGAGAAAACAAAGTCTCATAAGGAGACCGACCAGAAAGAAGGAAGGTAGGCATACGGTTGAGAAGAAAAGCAGCAGTAAGAACTGCCTCACCCCAAAACGGAGCCGAAATGGAGGCAGAGAGAAAGAGAGATCTAGCTGTCTCAAGGAGATGACGATGTTTACGCTCAGCTCAACCATTTTAGGCAAGTGTATCAGTACAAGAAGTTTGGTGAATGGTACCCAATTTGGCCAAATATTCACAGAATTCAATTTTAAAGTATTCCCCACCCAAGTCAGACCACAACAATTTAATAGTAGACTTAAACTGTGCAGTGACCATTGACTGGAAAGTATAGCATATTTGGTAGAAGCCAGACTTATGAGTCATAAGATAAACCCAAGTAAAACAGGTGCAGTCATGAACAAATGACACATAATATGTAGAACCCCCTTTGGAGAGAACAGGAGAAGAGCCCCAAACATCAGTATGAACTAAAGAAAATAGTGTATCAAATATAAAAATACTTTTATGGAAAGGTAAGGCTGTCATTTTGGCAAGTTTACACCCCCGATATTCAGTAAGTTCACTAGAAGAAACTTTACCCAATATACCAGATTGAGCTAAAAATCGTAAGCTATCAGTAGACAAATACCCTTAATTAAAATGCGACAAGTATAAAGCATTAGACAGAGAATCTAATTGAAAAAGAGGAAAAGACAGTTAGAGAGGTTATCATAGGCAGATATAAGCTCTTCACCACATAGAGGTCTCCAAGTCTACGGCCGGTCCCAATTTGCTGCTTAGACATCTGATCCTGCACATAACAGATAGAAGAAGAAAAGATAACATCAAAACTAGAGGCATCAAACTGACTGATAGATAATAAACTGACAGATAACTGAGGAACATAAAAGACATAACATACGGTAGGACAGACCCAATAGATATAACAGACATACCAAATCCATTAGCAGCATTGACAGAAATAGGAAAGGGAGGAAGAGTACAATTTTAAAGTAAGGAGAGATGGGGAGTCAAATGATAAGAGACACCAGAGTAAAAACTCCAAACAGACAAAGAAATACCTAAAAAAGACCCAAGCAAACTTGAATGAAAAGAGGAAACAATGGAGGCAGACGGAGATGGCTGAGAGGTAGACAATATATGCTGAAGTTAACTAATCTGAGTAGTCAAGGAAGCCAAGTCAGGATCAGGAGCCGAAGCAGATGCAATAGAACCGGCGGGCGGCTGAATTGTACTCAGAGAAGGAGCACAAAACTTGATCGGAAACGGCTGAGAAGACGAGATAGACACAGGCAAAGTAGACAAACATCCCTTCTTGGGACAATGATACTTCCAATAACCCCTTTGATGGCAGAAGGCACACTCATTAAAAGCCAGAGACATCGTAATAACTACAAAATTGAGAGGTTTAAGTGTAAAACAAAATAACCAAACCAAGGGTTCAAGTGTAAAAACCAAAAAATCTGAGGGGTCAAATTGTAATAAATCAAATAGAATGATATCAGATGGTCAAATATGACCAAAGCATTACTAGAAAAAGAGAGACTGAAGCCGAGATGAACCAAGAGAGGTCGAAGCAAAGTCAAAGCCGAGATGAATCAAATACCAAGAGAGGTCGAAGCATAGTCAAAGAGAGATGAACTAGAAGCCGAAGTCCAAAGTCGAAGACTTGGAGCCAAAATTGAAGAGAGAACCATGAACGACAATAGCGTAGAAAAATAGTGGAGGCAGTCGTGAGACAGAGGCAGTCGGGTTGCGAGGCTGCGTTTGTGTGTTGCGACCTAAGGGAAATTGAAATTAAGAGATAACCACAAACGATAGTCGCTTAAAGCCTTCGGTCAAACCAGACAAACACAGAGAAAAAGAAATCGACTCAGAGACTTCTAGGGTTTTGGCTCAGAGACGGCTCTGATACCATAAAAGATTTCTGAATAAGAACTGTATATTCAGTCGTGTCATATTTACAAAGAGTTCAGCAGTTTATATAACCCTAAACCTATGACTAAAAAAGGAAATACAACCAATTCAAATATTTACACCACAATCTTTCCTATTTCCTAATATACACAATCATGCCAAATTGAGAATATACACAATATATTCTCTCAAATGGACCAATGAAAAATTCAAATGCCTTTTACTGATTTTGTTAGATCACTAGTTGTGTATAAGTGGTGGGGTGTAGATGCATGTCCAAGCTTCAACCCTTTCTAAACCTAAATTCTTTGATATTGGGATATGTATCTAGAAGTTAAATATAGGTATAGGGAGATGATATATATATATATATATATATTACTTAATTGTATAATATTCTTAGAAAATGTGATGTAAATTCTTCAGAAATGCTTGAAATTAAATAGAATTTAGGGGAAATATAAAATTTGTATCTTCTACCCATATGAGAGACTAGAAATATTTTTTTCCTAACATATGTGAACTTTTCTTCAAACATCATATAAACGTAGAGGGTTAGTGTGTCTAAATAAGCATCAGAACATATCTCACACCCTTATTCTTATCATATCTGATGGACATGGGTACTTGGGGAAAAATAAAAGAGAGAACCAGACTGAACTAAAATTTTTCCACCAACACAGACCGAGAACCTCCTCAAACTAGAGCTCTGTCATCTTAAATTGTTAACTACTAACTCATCTAAAAACTTTGTAAATTGATGATCTAACAAATTGATATTAGAGACTAGAACTAGGACTCAAAAACACTTACTGTTTTCTGTCGTAACCATGCTCTAGATCAAGGATGGTTCCGCTGTGACAGGCATCGATAATGGCATGAAGCTTGACACCTTCCTTGAGAGGCTTGACAATGGTATTATTGATATCATTATCAAGGATCATTCCAGCAGTCATGAAATCAGAAGGACAGATAGTTTCATCGTAGTCATCGTTCTCATCCATATCAAAATCAGGTTGTCGTAAACCACGTCCAGAGAAGTAGAACACCAAGGAGTCCCCTGACTTGCAGTCGGCCACAAGCCACCTCAAGGCCTTCTGCATGTTCTCCTTTGTTGGAATAAGGTTTGGGTCATCCTCCTCTTTTGCAATTTGCTCAAATTTAAATAATTAATAGATCATCCGTAAAAGAAAACATAAACATAAGACTTAAAACTTAAGAGTGGGTTTTTTTTTTCTTATATTAAATTAATTTTTTTGATAATTTTAATTATCTGTGAATGTAATATTAATTTACGTAGTAAATAAAAAATATATAATATATATATTTTTTTATCACAGTGTCAATGCTTCTGAGAAGCAAACTTATGGATGTTTTTGCTTTCTCTTTTCAACTATTGTCTGAAAGCCCATACCAAAGTTCTTACAATTAGATTTAAATATTTTTATACCTTTCATTCGATTTTTGGGAGATTGATAAAAGAGTTGTTCCTGACACCTCTGAATTGCGAGTGCATGCTTATAGAGAAGTGACATAACATGTTGAAGCAACTCACAACTCAGAAGGGCGCAATCTACTCTCAAGACAGTGAATGCACGCCCCTGTTGATAAGTTTTCTTTGACTTTGTATTGTTTAATTTTATAATTGCAATGAATTTTTTAAATACTGTATTTTAAATTTGTGATTAATTTTAGTATATTAAATTTCTAATTTTCACAACAAACACTAATAATCAGTTTGTGATGTATGTACAATGCTATACCATGCAACAGAGGATCCAAGACATATGAACAGAATTCTTCATGAAGCACATAGTAGGAATCAGAATATTAACAGATGTTGCTAGAATCAAAAAGAAAATTCTGCACCAAAGCATTGTGACATAGTTCTGGTTGATCGATTTAGAATCAGTGTGCAAATTTCAAGTTTCTTGTTTTATTATCCACAAGTTTTAAATCACTCAAAAGCGTGATATAGCTAAATTGTCACATATTTATATGAAGCCGATGCTGGTTCTGTTAACTGTTTGTGTTGCAGACATTCACTGGTTTGACATTTTCGGACATGGTCTCAGTCAAGTGCTTGGTAATAAACCTATTTCCTTCTGCTCATATACACTGTTAAGATTAAATGGAATTATTTACTGAATATCACACACTACTATAAAGGGCATGGATTAGAATAAATACCTGTTAGAACACAAATAGAAGTTTCAAGAAAACCAAAATGATCGGTTAGAAGAGATTTCATTCTGTTCACATCATTTATTGTTCCCTTGAGCCTGTGTTTCTTCTTTTGGTAACTGACTCCGCAAAGAACTGCCCGCTTTGGTAGATGTACACCGATATTATTGTTGGACAATCTTCACTGTATTTAAAAGATTTAATTCTATTGTGTACACAACAACAATTAGAATTTAAAGAAATAAAGAAAATGAGAGAATTTGTTTGATTACAAAAATTAAACTCGAAATAAAAATAAATAAATAAAACAGATTTTATTTTGTTACAAAAACAAAATTTAAATCTAATTTTAATAAATAAAACAACACTGAAAATAAATTAAATAACTTACTTGATTTAATTTCTTCAAATTAGTTTCTGATCAAGTCTAGTGTTTGACACCGTGTCCTTAAGACAGATTTGTCCTCTCCACGGTGCTTTCAGAATTTGAACGTCTATCTCCCAGGATGAAATGATCTACCACAAACAATAGCAGCACTGCAAATTGTTTCTCTTGGTTTTGAATTGAACAGGTATGTGGCTCTTGGTTTTGAATTGAACAGGTATGTGGCTCTTGGTTTTGAATTGAACAGGTATGTGGCTCTTGGTTTTGAATTGAACAGGTATGTGGCTCTTGGTTTTGAATTGAACAGGTATGATACCTGTTGGTTTTGAATTCAAACAGATTTGAATCTGTTAACAATTCAAACAGATAGCAAAAACGGGAAGGGCCCTGTTTGGGTGTGCACTAATTCCAAACTAGTTTATTTCTGTTTGAAAACGGGAAGGGCCCTGTTTGGATGTACAGAAAATTCAAATTAGTTTAATTTGAATTCTAGATTTTATTTTACCAAAAAATAAAATTAAATTCAAATGTTTTTGGCCCAAAAAGATTAGTATTGGGCCGAACAAGCCCAACCACACACTCGCGCCCAGGCCCAGCCCGCCCGGACGGCGGCTGCGCGCGTGGTGATTTTTGGGTCCAATGGGTCTAGCCCATAACCTCTCCCTCTAAAACACTTGGATACCCCTTGGGGCACACTCCAAGTATCTCACCCAAGCCTTATAAACCTTTTCAAAACTTCCCACCAAATCAATGTGGGACAAGCCAATTTACAACCTTAAGGAATTTCCACCAAAACTCCATTTCCATGGAGCACACTTTGGCTTCAATTTCCCATTCACTCGGTAATGGTTTTGAGCAACCAAATATACCACGTGAATCACAACGCGGCATAGAACGCGTTACCACTTTGACCCGAGTAAATCGACACTCGGGGCCCACCTAAAAAATAGACCAAACTTGAGAAAAAATTCTGGTTTTACCCAGAATTTTTCTACCATTGCCAACAATTATGAGTCATAGGATTTAGCTTTCGATCAGGCTTTGGCAATGCAGCAAGCAGGCTTTTGTTTTCTTGCAATCTTGTTTTCCAACAAAAGCATAAATGTCCCTTGGGGACGGTTTCACATGCTTCGGTTGAAATCAGAGATTCACAAGATTGGCATACAGTGTTTTTGGATTCCGGTGTTTCCATAATCTTGTTGTGGCAGCTACCACATGAAATTTCTCTAGTGTTCCTTATTTTTGGTTTCGTTTGTAAGGCAAGGAGGCAGAGCAACAAAGAGGATTGAATTTATGACACCGACATGGTGAGGTATAATAGAATTTTACAAAATCCAACCAACCGAGGAGCAACTAAAATGGGATTTTACTAGTGAGCTGTTTTTGATTTTGTTCAACAAACTTTTTCTGCTATTTTAAAGTTTTATTCTATAGCACTATATAAAGTGTGAAGAACTAGATACCCTATGTTTAATTTTTTGTTTTTTTTGAGAGTGTTCACATTGGCAATTGATCTTTGGATATTAAGCATATCATTTTAAGCACCATTTTGGCAATGAATGTCAAAAAAGTGAACATCAAATAGTTTTTTTCCCAGGAAAATTGCGAAAGAAAATTCCACTTCATAGAGTCTGATCATTTTTCCTTAATCATATTCTTTCTCAGTTGTTAAAGTCCAATGATAGTGATTTGAATATCATGACCATGCTAGTATGCTTGATGTCGGCATTATGTTTTGTAGTCTGTAGACTGTTGGATCGGGAAGATTAGCCAGCCCTATCTATCCCCTGTATGTAGCCTCACCCTCATGCATAGTTTGTTTTGAGACTACTATGTAGTTTTTTCCCCCCAAAATGTGCTTATCCATATAGCTTTTTCTCAGTGCTTTTTGATTCTGCAAGTCATTGAGAAATGAATGGATCTGATTTGAAGACTAATTAGCATTTTCATAAGCAGTGATCAAACCTAGACATTAAAAAATGAAAAATGATATATAAGTCCACTTTTTGGATCCACTTTATAGACTCAGTGATGTGTTGAGAAGATGATTGATTAATAATTAGAGAATATTTAATTATCAATCAATTATCTTCTTAAGACATCACTAGGTCTAAAACGTAGATCTAAGTTTTGGACTTGAATGGCAATACTTTTGAAAAATTAATTACAATGCTGAAATAAATCCATGGAAAAGGAATCTATATGAGAGTAGTGTAGTCAAGAGCCATTTGGGTCTGCAATGTCTATATATTCTACCAACAATGTAAAGTGTGAGAAGAACATAAAAGAACCTGATGCTGCACTGTTGTTTATATCCTGTTCACGCATGTACGGATAGAAACATGTACGAAATGAAGAATTAAAAAAAAAAAAGAAAAAAATTAAGAAGAAAAGAGGTGCTTTTCTCACTCTCTATTTTTGGGTTGATTGATCCCAATCCGTTCCCAAGAATATTGCTACTGTATAACTGTTGTAAGTTGATTCAAGTTCTTTGAATAAATTTGATCACTAACAATGGAAGTCATGTTCACAACGAGAAGACAACTCTATTAAAGTATAGTTTAAGGAAGGTATAGTTTTAGGAAAGACTGTTTACTATAGCCTCTGTTTGGTTTGCGAAAATGATGGGCCAAAAGATTTTTAAAAAAATGATTTCTTTCATATTTTTCGCCACCAAATGAAGTTAGGTTTTAAATTCTGACTTTCTCATAAATAATCACAAATCAAGAATAGAATACAAATTAGAGCATCCGAAATTAAAGAACAAATGCTACATAAATGATCACAAATCAAGAATAGAATACAAATTATAGCATCTAAACTTAAAGAAGAAATGATATATATTAACTGGTTTATTAGAAACAAAAAAGTTGATCCTACATATAAATTTCTCTTGTTTCTCTGTTTCAAAATCTGTTTTTACCACACGATTTCTTCACATGAAGGGTCTATTACTCGCATGTATCAAAGAATTTTTTCCTTGGAATCAAACTGCATGTTCACATTTTACACATTGCACAAACAATTGTGTTTAAATTACTTGGTTCCAACCAGTACAGAGAATTGATGCTTGATTTTTTATTTTGAAGCTAGCCAAGGATCCTCTACAAATCCATTTGATAACACAAAAGTCAATTTTCAAAACAAAAACCCAAGTATTTCTACCGTATCTAATAACTGACCATACGAAACAATGCAACATAAATAGATAAATATCTCATAAAACAGGGAACTTTATACATGAAAATTTCATTCATAAAACAAAATCCGGGATCTACATATTTCCAATAGGTACTCTAATCTCCAGCAAGAAGTCAACCACAGACATTGATAGATACATCGATACATAAATGGCAAATTTCATGTCTTGCTGCAAAGATGTAGCTGCATTCTCATGATGGTATAAATGGTGAAAGAACAGTTCTTGCCACTAGGTTTACTGCATCCTCCAGAATCCTCGTTCGTGCCGTTTATAGTACAAGCATTCTTCTGCAAAAGTGTACAAGCCAACAAAGCAGTAAGAATCAACATATCAAATTTTGGAGTATTGCCATATTCCTGCCCAGGTGATGCTCAGGCCATAGGGTCTAG